ACCAAACCAATCCCTCCCATCCCCCCAACACCACCCCCCCCCCCTCCAACACCACCCCTCCCCTGCACCTGGGGTGTTAATCTCCAATGATCATCTTCACATCTCTGACGGATCTATAATGTGTTGAGGAGAGCCGGGAATTATTTCATTACACAACAATTAGATTATATGCCGTGTTATGAACCAATAATAGACTCCACATCCCTGCGGTAGTTTGTTTGTGGATATTAATGAGTTATTTGAGATAAAAATCATGGAAATGGATATGTTTATTGCACGTTACATTATATATATATATATATATATATATATATATATATATATATATATATATATATATATATATATATATATATATATATATATCTAATCGTTTTTAGTAAGAGGCCGTTCTCACTGTGGACGGGAAGGCTTTTATATTTGAGCATCGATGGATTGTTTGACCAACTGTACGTGGTTTAAGTCTCTGGTTGTTTGACTGTCTTCTTCCTGGGATATTCTTGAGCCGACCCCAAGGCCTCTGGTTCATCCACTGAGTGTTATCCATTCCGTCGTACTCATGTGGTGGATGAGTACCTATCACACTCATGTGGTGGATGAGTTACTATCACACTCACTCATGTGGTTATCTTGAAGTTATCTTGAGATGATTTCGGGGGCTTAGTGTCCCCGCGGCCCGGTCCTCGACCAGACCTCCACCCCCAGAAAGCAGCCCGTAGCAGCTGACTAACTCCCAGGTCCCTATTTACTGCTAGGTAACAGGGGGCATCAGGGTGAAAAAAAACATCTTGCCCATTTGTCTCCTCCTCTACCGGGGATCGAACCCAGAACCTCAGGACTACGAATCCGAAGCACTGTCCACCCAGCTGTTAGGGACCCTAACATGATGACTATAACATGATGATGATGATAACATGATAACATTAGTGGATGACTACCCATAACACTCACTCATGTGCATATATCACTATATACTTTCTAAATCAGGGCTTCTTTTCTAAAGTCTAGTCTAATATGAAGAGAATTAGATAAAAATGTCGTTGTTTTCCACACTGCACAACAAAAGGAAAAGCTAAAGCTTACCGGAATTTGCAATATCAACGGGTGCAAAAAGAGTGAAAGTTTCCACGAATTCATCAAGAAGCACAAACTGAAAACTTTGGATGTGATGAGACACACGACACTGAAGGAGACACAATGAGAACATCATTAACGCTGCCACGGGTGTCCTGGAACATGTTTCTCATTACTGAGATGAGAAAGGTGTTTTGAATGGATCATTATTGATATCAAGGAGATGTTATGCATCTCTCATTTGTGAGAAATGATTGGTTATTCTGTATCTCTGAAGGTCAAGTGTTCTGGCGCTCTCATTACTAAGATGAGACAGGGGTTCTGTATCTCTCATTGATGAGATCATAAACTAGTCGAGCGGACAATTTTTTGTCACATTTCTGATTCTTGAGAAAGATCAAAGCATTTCTAGGTTACTACCTTGAGAGCAAAGAGTGACTACCTTGAGAGCAAAGAGTGACTTGCTCTCAACTTCTCTCACATACATGGATTCGTTACTAGTAACACCGTGTTCATTGTAATGACATTGTACTCGTTACTGATGCAACTGGACTCATTACGAAACACCATAATGAGAATGACATATTCGATGAGTTTCATGGTCCTATATAAGGTGTAGATGATTCATGTTGGATCAAATTAGTGACTGAATCGATATGATGCTACATTGTTTTTTATATAATATACGTAGATACATCGGCGTGTATACCGCTACAATAGACTACATGAAGGGTTACACAGTTTGTGTCAAGCGCTGGCTATGTGGAGCTGTAATCTTCATCTGACAAGATAATCATGTAGAGGCGCGCGATCAATAGCAAGGTGGCAAGCACAGGTGGCAAGCACAGAGTTGTCAAGCACAGAGGTGGCAAGCACAGAGGTGGCAAGCACAAAGGTGGATTCCAATCGGTGGATGATTGAGAGGTGGGACTCAGGAGCTGAAGCCACGTCGTCACAAGCACAATCAGGCGAGCACATGTAGGTGAGTACACCCAGCGATGGGCCGTGTCAGCACTTCACGAAGCTCTCAGTAAAAATGCGAACCTAAAGAAATAAATGTGATAGGACCCCTCGTGTTCAGGCACTGTTTTGGGCATCTACGTCCGTGGGTGTTGGTGGGTCGGTGGGTCGGGGGTGTCGGTGGATGATTGTAAGGGGGGAAGGGGATTATTACAGCAGAGATGTTGGTGGGGGGGGGCGTAAGGTGGGGGCGTCAGGGGGGGGGGCCGTGAGAGGTAACCAATTAGGTGTTGTTACGGGCGTCGATCACCGGCGGAGGCGCGGCGGGAAAATAATGCTGTGAGTGATAACCGCATGCGGCGATAACAGTGTTTAGGGCGCGTAATGTGGCCATAACTCTGCCGCCAGGCACGAGGGGCGGCACGAGGGGGCGGCACGAGGGGGCGGCACCAGAGGGCGGCACCAGAGGGCGGCACCAGGGGCTTCACTCTATAGTTAATCATATTATTAACTATAATGTGTCTAAACAACAAATAATTTTGGCCAGTAACGCGCTGTGTGAGAACAAGTGTCAACAAATATCCTAATTAAGAGAAAGTTATGTAAATATGAGTCTCTCAACCAGAGCAAGATGTGTGCTTGGCCTGACCTCCGGGCCTCAACATACTGAATATTTGAACTCGTGACAAATAAAGTAAAGTGCTTTTTGCCTTTGTGACAATCCATAAGTCCAGCGTTCGACTCCAGGATAGTATTGATTCGAGTTCTGTTTAAGCTGATTTATGGAGTATAATTCGCCAAGTCTAGCGAGTAGAAACCCTTATTAAGGGATAATCGTTGTCCTTCTGGGATAATGACTCAACTCTCCAAAGACGCAATCAACAGCCTTCCAGTCTTTACGTACCTATTTACCACTAAGTGAACAGGTGCATCAGGCTTAAGGAAACAAACCCAGGAATCTTCCTTATCCTAATGCATCATGAGCCATGAACAGGTTGTTGGTATATGTCTCCGATCCTTCACTGTTTCTCAATCAACTGTCAAGTCCACAAGTCCCACTTGTAAAACTCTTTTCCATAAGCAAGACCAAAGCGATGGCAACACTGTGCAAGATATCTGCACGCGTAGTCATTATTACTTTTCTAATATCTTCAAAAGTTATCGTTCTATCTCAAAAAGACACATTCATATTTAAGAGAATGACAAGCCTTGTATAACATTACTCGTGTTAACAAAACATGAAATAAAACACGCTTGGCGCTAAATATATATATATATACAAAATACATCTCAGGTTGTATGGTCAAGCAACAAGTACTGTTTAGTGTTGGACTTTAGGCCTATGTCGTTATGGAGGGTTATTAACACCATGACAATACTGATCAATACAAAACTATACACACCGCGAAATAGTGGTACAGTTCTTATACACAGTAGCTGTGTATATCCTCATACATTTGGTCTGGTATTGGACTTAAGGCCTAAGAACCACGAGAGAGTCACTGAAGCCACCACAATACTGACCAACCAGCAAGTCTGCTCTAGCTATAAACATTGTCTAGAACTCAAGTACACTCTGAATATATACAGAAGTATTATGATAACATATACACAAGTCGGTGAGTATGCCAGTAACACCGACCACCATAATACATTTGTTCACATAAATTAAACTATACAAAACTGAGAGAAAGGAACACTTTATATGAAAAGTTAGTACATGCAAATAAAGAAACTGCAAATTGCTTCTAAAACACAGGAAAACAAACACAGCTCATTAAAACAAATAAAAACAGAAAGAAATCTTTCACTCTAGGCCAGCAGTTACAGGTGGACCACTCTGGGCCCACAGTAACAGGTGGACCACTCTGGGCCAGCAGTTACAGGTGGAGAGATACAGAGATAATGTGAGACAGAAGATAATGTGAGACAGAAGATAATGTGAGACAGAAGGCGTGACGGTTAAACAAGACAGAGAGCGCCGTCATCACTGGAAACGCAGAAAGTTCCCGCCTCGTGATGAATGATTGCGGTGGATGACGCGCCACATTTAGACATAACAGCAAAGTAAGGGTTTCAGGTCTCCTGCAGCAGGGTGCTGAGTCCTAACTTAGTGAGAACTGAGGCTCACAGGAGTAGCCCTCGAGGAAGGAGCTCTTAGAAGTGGTCAGGAGTATCATGAACCCCACAATGACTCGTGCTCCAGCTGCTCAACGGGGGGCTCACAATCACGAGGTAACGACAAGGAAGTGTGTGAATCTTAAGATGATTTCGGGGCTTAGCGTTCCCGCGGTATATATGATAGAAGAATGCAGTTATTATAAGGCAATGGAGTCATTTGGGCGACCACATGGCAAGATGAGACATATACAAATTGCTACGCTCTCTTTGTTCATAATAACTCAGTCAGAAGCAATTAGTGTGTGGGTGAGGCTAAA